CCCTCTCTCTCTCTCTCTCTCTCTCTCTCTCCCCCCCCCCCCCCCAGCAATAGAAGGCATGCTCTCCGACTGCATATCCATCGAACCGGCGGTTGGTCGAAAGAGCGTTCGCGTTGGTGGGATTCCATCTCCGTTCATCCGGTGTTCCCTCGTCCTTGCCCCCCGCTCGGTGCCCGGCTTCTACGGAGAAAGCACCACTAAGAATGAACAGAGCGATCTCGATTAAATTTGGTTCACAAGCTCGTAGCCGTGTGCCACGAAATCGATTGGAGCTTAAAAGGCTTGGGACGAATATTCGCAGAGAAAACTTGCCAAGATTTAAATGGGGGGCGGGGGGAAGCTTAATAATAACCCAAACCGGTCACTCAAAAGGATTTTAATCGAAAAAATGCGGAAAATGAATAGGAAAATATAGGGAACTGGCTCTCTAAAAAAAAAATAATAGGAAAATCGAGATATATTTCGAAGCTTTTTCGGCCGTATTTGAGTGTCTGCGAAGCCACGCCGAGATGAATTCTCTGAGGGCGATTTCGAAAAGTTCTTCGAGCGTTTGATCGATGGCGGACTGATCGGGGGACATGCATCAGCTTCATGCATCAAGTTGATGCATGGACGAAGAGATCCAGACAACACAAGAGGGTCGTGGAAACGTTACTCTTAACGTTATCGCGCCCGTTTCATATCGACGCCGAATCAAACGTGCAGAATTAAATCACTCTCGGTTTTCTTCTTCTCGTTTCACCCGATTCTCTTTCCGCTCCGGAGTTTCGAAAATCCTTCCTATTAGAAAAAATCCTCACGTTTCGGCCGTCCTTCGGATGGAGTCGGGTTAGACCAGACCACAGCGCCCTCAAACGACAGCGACGCCATCTGGAGAAAAACATTCAGGTCCATATGGTCGAAATTGAGCTCCAAAAAAAATTAAAAAGTTAAGATCGAACGAAGTCGATGAGAATCTTCGTCGACGCCTTCACCTCCCGTCCACCTTCTCCGCGCCGTCGCAGGAAGAGGAATGAGAGGGGAAAGGGAGGGCGCTGGGGTCAGACGGGGTTGGGGCTCGGGATGTCGGGGCGAGCGAGCGAAGACCCATCCCGAGCCCCATGGGGACGCATCCCGAGCCCCATGGGGACCCATCCCGAGCCCCATGGGGACGCGTCCCGTTTGGTCCTTCTTGCCCTCTGCGGCTTATTTTTGTAAATTACAAATGAAAACTTCGTAGTAACATTTTTCTGACGTTCTCGAGTTAACGTTGCTTTCAGAGCTTTCAAGAAGGGCTTTTCAAAGTTCTGCCAGCGTTCGAGTCGCTGAAAAAAAGTGGGAAGTTGAAATCGGTGGGGAACGATCGCGGTCTTCGGGGGCCAGCCTTGGTCTCGGCCGCGAAATTTTGTTCCCGATTGCACTCCAGACCCGACGTCGAGGGATCCGCGAACGGAACCGGATTTGGATCCCGGCCGAAGGGCTGATAGACCCCATTAGTGGGTCACTCGGCTTCAATCGCTGTGCGGAATTTTTTTTTCGCGAAAGGAAGGCGTTAATATGAAGCAGCCCGGCACGCCAGCTCGCACGTGCATGGAGGTGACCCACTAAAATCAACGAAAAAAACTTTTTTTCGAGTGAAAGTGAGAACTACGGGCAGTCGAGATCTCACCGAAACGGTTCATCCGGCCGCTCTGGAGTCGGATTTCTGCATTAGTCTACCATGCCCTTTACGAAGGACAAGGTCAACTTGAGTATGTGCGATACGACGGGGAGCGACCGCCTGCCTACCTAAATCGAGCCCTCGATAAAACGTTAGCAATCCGCCTCCTTCAGCTGGATGAAATACTATTTTAAATATATATTGTACACAGCATAGACTTGTCACCGAAACTATACGAATGAGTCATCAACAGGGTCGCAATGTAGATGTCACTGTCGGTCTGCCATCTGGTGGAGGTCGGGGATCCCCGAGTGAATCGAATCTCGATTCCAAAGCCAAGAAGCGTGACTAATGGGAGCGTTGTCGCGTCAGGGCCACCAGATGTCCCTCAGATGTTTGCATTTCCCCATACCTATCGGATCGTCGGCTCTGGTTATGTCGTTCACATTATCCTCTGGTAGGGCGTGGATGTGCATAGCGCAAAAGCGGGATTTCAAGTTTTCCCTCTTCGGCATCATCGGTCAACGCTGCCTGAATTCCTCCAAAGATGAATTGGAGCAGGATTCCAAGTTCCGAGCGAAAACGAACTCGGGAGTCCCTCGATCCATATTTCGTTTCATTTTTTGACCATGAGGCTGCATTTCAAAACAGCTGTTCACGACAGTTTAGGGCTCGATGAGAAAATAAGAGATTATATAAAGTTTCAACATTTTTTGTTCTATGGACAATACATTTTTTACCCCTAAATTTTCATAACGGCTAATGATTGGAACTGCTAGAACAATTGCTCAATGGTTTAAAAGTACAAACAATGACTCGTGTTGACATTTCGATACATGGAGTGAGGGATTTTTAGCCTTTATGGCTCGTCAAACATTTCCACATGTTCCAGGCAAGTTGTATTATTGTTTCGGTCTATTAACCTCTTCAATTCAAAGATTTTATGCTTATAGATTTGTTGGCCTTTGCTTTGTTTTCCTACTGATATGCCTCACTGGATGGATATTTCATCACTTGATAATGAGGATTCAAAGGAAGGAATTTCTCATGTAAGAGGAGCTGAATCTCAATGGGTCATAAATGAAACAGACAATTTAGAAATCATTTCACACAAATATTCATTTCAATATCCATAGAGAAAATGTGACAAAGATAGAGGAGAAATTCACCAGGGCAAATAAGTATGAGATAGGAAGACACAAAATCAAGCTTTAAAAAAATATATTGGCACGGAATTCAGCCGAGTCTCATCGTCGACCACTCGTGGTTGTAGAGAGAGGAGGAATCATAAGAACCATGCATACGTCAAAGAGAATTAAAAAGACACATGAAAATTCAAATTACTAAAAAGATTCTCACACACAACTGAGTCACTATTGTTTTGAGATTCATGCAATCACGTGAAAGCATCCGGCTGGCTGCATTTCGTCGCAAGATGCTCTTTCGTTTTGGAAATATGAGTCCATGAACCTACGAGGACTAGGCTGTGCTTGAGATTAAGGAGAATCCGCGAGCTTCGGGAACGAAATTAAAAAACTTACGGTTCCGCAATCTAGAGTACAACCAGAGGGTCAGGTACCTGCATGCGAGAGAGGCCACAGGACACGAGAGGACGGGTTTCGACCGGCCTCTCCACTGACGCACGGGGACGAATGAAAGCGACCCCCCCAATGGACTGGGGTCCATCCATCACAAAGGCCAAAGCCGAGATGGTCTCTATCACAGGGGTACACGATCAAGGATCAGCGGATGATCGAAGGGGATCATGCGATGAGGCCCCACTTCTGGAGGGTGACCTCGGCGGGGGCAAGCACCACGATGAGGATGAGAAGGGCAGTGAACAGCCAGTTGATCAACAGGTAGATCCCCAACATCCATTTCCTCAATCCACTTCCCTGTATATGATGAACAGAGTCATGTTATAGCACTTTCCAAACAGAATGAACAATATTCCGCTATGGCATTAACTTAGCCCTCAATTGACCTATGATATAAAAATTGAACAAGCCATGATGCTGTATTCATTTCTGGAAGTTTGACAATGTAATAAAGTTGGGACTAGAGTGTTCCTATGAAAACAGAATTCTTCTTCACCAATGAAAATTAAGTAAAATGACTTGACCAATTTAGTCTGAAAAAGGCAGCAGAGCAGCCATGTCAATACCATGATGCTTCCAGAAACTTCAAATAAATGTATATAAATGTAAATAAAGAATACCGTTCAGACAGAAAAAGGTAATGATCATTATGACCAAGTCCTTGCAGAAATCCCACTGTCAAATCTTACCAAAAAAACAAGTACTTTGGATTACAGTACAAGTGATACCACATTTTCTACATAATGAATCAATCAAGAAATGGAATATGTCAAGGAATCCCATCAAGAACAGAAGGGAAAAGGACTCACAGGGGCATCTCTCTTGCGTTCAGCATAGAGGGAATTGTGTCCAACTCCCATTTCCTTCATGGCATAAGTGTCATTTCGTTCCTTAAATCTTCCCTCAGACCAGCACATGTGAATCTGCACAAGAAAAACCACCTTCAAGTCTCAAGTCTCTGGTTAAAGCCCCTTGGAACATTTGGAAAGACAAAGCTCACCGAGAGCATGAAATGCATGAGGCCATGGAAGGCAACGAAGGCAACAAGGATCCAATCCATCCATTGAGGTAGTTCAGCCTTCTGCAGCTTCACAGCAAAAAATATTGCCACAACTTGGGGGGAAAAAATTCAAATTTAATTTTTTGTCAGCTGTCACAAAGAAGGAAATCAGTCTTTAAACCATTCACACTTCTTTAAAGTGGCACAAGGTAAAAGTAAAGATGGATGGTTTTCAAAGCCTGAATAAAAGACTGAATTGGCAGCTAATAATGTTTAGCTTATTATACGTAATTCCAGACACTTTGCAAAAGTATGATATTACCCTTGGGAAAATATGTTACTTATCTGCTCTTGCATGAACTGATGGCTTACTGATGAAACCCCAAGGAGACCAAAATTTACTTTGAGGTTGGAGTATTAACTCAATACCTCTGGAAGTTTTAGGGGGAAAAATCTTGGCTTTGACGGTTCCATGTCAGTTCTGGAATCTTCCAAATTTTTAGTCTCTTACCCAATGCAAGATCCGAATATTTAATTACATATGAATACAATTTTATTAATGATAAATTATTAACAGCATTCTCTTACCATAATATAGCCTATCATTTCATGATAAATGAATATAAAATGTAAAATGATAAATGTTGTATATTCATTTATCACTTCATGATAAATGAATATGCAACTGTTGCAAGGAATTCTCTTCTGATCAGTGCCAGGACTCCATTTTAAGATACAAAATTCATTCTAGGAGCTTGGCTTTGAACCTCCAAAACTCAATCCCCAACAAAAAAAACTAACAATGACCTTTTTTGATTAAATCTCAGATTTTGTAGCATGCTCTGCCACCACCACAAGAGATGTGATACACCCAAGAGGCTCCGCTTCCAACACGAACGCCAAGAAACCAAACTCACTTCCGATGATCTGAGCAGAGTTCCCGACGAACCAGTGGGCCCAGTTGAAGATGGGACGCTTGGAGGTGCCCGGGTGGGGTCGGAAGATCGCCATGAACGGCTGGATGAAGCAGAGTCCGGTGGTGACGACCCCGAGGACGGAGTGCGGGTTCCTCCAGATGTCGATGTAGGTCCATCCTTTGAGTTCCACGAAGATGAGCACGAATCCAGCCACGGTCAGGGACCATGTGATGACCATGAAGAATCGATGCCACTGTGCACACAATCAATGCAGGAACATTTAATGAAATTAATGCCTGTTAAGAAAACATGACCAATCTTTGCATCTCACTTTTTCCTGAAAATAACGAGAGTGGAAAAGGATAAGTTACTTTCTATAATGAACTTATTGCAAATTACAAGTTACAACTCTTCATGAAAAATACTCCCAGTTTCACATATTTTTTATTATCTAACAGGTGACTTGCTTTTCTGGTGCTTTCATTTGAATCTAAACAAATGCACAGGATGCAAGATGGGGGGATTTGTGATCTTTCTTTTAATTTGTATCCTGCGGAGATATTCTCCTCTGCCAAACAAGATGCATTCCAGATGCAGCGATCTACTAAGACTACATCAAACTCAAAAAAGAGAACATAATATTGCCACCGAATCGGTGACACTTCAAACATACCACAAACCAAAGGTCCTTGCCACAAATCTGAGACCCAACCCACGTGTTCTTGTAATACCGGGCAAGCAACATCCCACAAGACGCCGCACAGATCCAGGCTCCAAGCATGAAGGCCCCATGCAGACGCAAGAGAATCGGGTCGTACGCCTTGAGTTCCACCGTGCTGGCCAGGGCCACTGGGCTCCCTGCGGCAATGCGTCCATTCGAGTGATACCCGATGTTGGATTTGTCTGAAAGGAAAGACAAATGGTCAGTACCAAGCATGGGTGGAAAATTCTTCACATGGAGCAGATTTTAAAAACTTTATAATTACTTGACTGATAAAATACAAAACATTTCCTGGGTTTCTCTAAGATATCAGAGAAAATCCCAAAGGGAGACGGAGATACCCGACTAAATATTGGCACCAGCATCGAAACCGGAATAGTTTCCATCCAACAAACTCCGTTGCTCCCCATTAACATCATATTGGAAACAATTTCATGAGACATTCTAGGCCAAGCATCCTCACCTTCATTGACATATCCAGCAGCAACCAACACCACATATTCCTTTTGGTCCAGATTAAACTCTATGCCATTCTGCTCGTGGACAGGATCCAGCTCGAAGGAACAATAAAAGACTCCGTTGACGTAAGCTCCCTTCACGTTGTAAATTCCCGACTGATCCTCGGCTCGCGTGTTGCCTTTCCCCGGAACTTTTGCATTCCAGGAACGGTAGGCCTTGATGCGACCATCCACCTCCATGCACTCCACAACAGCATCATCTCCCTGCACATTTAAAAAATAAGCCAGATGCGCCGGGCAACAAGAAATTCCCCCAGACAAGAGAATCCACGGCTCACCATCTCGCTATCCATGGATAGACCCATAGCGACATATCCATCCGTCTTTGCCTGCAGCTCAAACAAGAACCTATCTCCCTTCTTCCTCCACGCAACGATGTGACTACAATCGCCATCCGCGACGCACTTCTCAGTCTTCCCAAAGCATCCCTTCTCGACCTGGCACCCATCGTAGATGGGATCCCTGTTCTGACGATCCTCCTTCCTCCCTCCGTCCTGACCCTGCGGCTCCCGACTCGACCCGACCTCGGGCTCGTGGGGTATCAAGTTCCTGTCCTCGAATATTTTGCTCGACGAAAAATCACCCAGGGCCACTGGGCTCCCTGTGATGATGCGGCCGTTTCTATGATATGCAACGTTGGACTTGTCTGAAAGGAAGAAAAAAAAACAGTCAATACCATTCACAGAAGCAAATATTTTGAGAAAGCAGATTTTTTTTTATTAGCAACTTTGCAGTAGTGCACAAGTTTGGAAAAGGCTATGAACATTTTTCCCACGAACGCAATGGAAATTTTTTTTTTGCAAAAGTACCATTCAGGGGTAGGACTACATTTTTGTGTCAACTTATAAATTGGATTATCGACCATCCAACATTCTCCACAGCGTGCTTTCGGCAACTCATTGGAAAATGAATTTTTTTTTAATATTCCAATGTGTCCACGAGACATTCATGGTTTCCAAATGGTGTTTCGTGAGCCACTCCACGTTTCTAGGTTCAATAGTAGTAATAAAAAAAAAAAGTTCGAGAACGACAAGCGTGCATCCTCACCCTCTTTAACAGGTCCAGCCGCCACAAACAGCGAGTATTTCTGTTTGTCCAGATCAAACGTGACGCCATTCTGCTCGTGAATAGGATCCAATTCGAAGGAACAAGACATGATTCCATTGACATATGCTCCGTTCACATTGTGAATTCCCGAGTGATCATCGGCTCGTTTGTTGCCCTTCCTTGGGCTAGCCGAATTCCAAGAACGGTAGGCCTTGATACGACCATCCACCTCCATGCATTCCACAACGGCATCGTCTCCCTGAATATAAAAGAAAAACTCGTCACTCGACCCCGATAACGAGAACTCCCAAAACACACAATTCAAGGCTGACCATCTTTTTGTCCATGGAGAGACCCAGAGCGACATATCCATCCGTCATGGCCTGAACTTCAAACAGGAACCTACTCCCCTTCTTCCTCCACGTGACCATGTGATCACAATTGCCATCCTTGACGCACTCCCCAGGCGACCCAAAACATCCCTTGCTGGCGTCGCATCCATCGTAGATCGGATCCTTGCCGACGGCCTCGTTCCTTCCTCCCTCCTGACCCGGAGGCACCCGACTCGACCCGGCCTCGGGCTGCAAAAATCCCAAGTTCCCACTCTCAGACTCTCCCACGCAATCACATAAATGTTCAATGGTCGTGTTGTGGTATCCAGCTCTCATCAGTTGAGAAATCCACTCTTTCACCCTCGGACTCACGATCTATTCCTCCACGACCTTATAAAGAAACTCGGACATAACACCCGACAGAAAAAGCATTCGTACCACTCGCGGTCTCGTATCCTGGGAGGGCCGTCTCGGCGTCTGCGTTTGGGCCGGACGGGGACGCGCAGTGCTGTCCACGTTTCCCACTGGTACTTCTGCAGTCCCCGGATCACTCGCTATCGGCTTCCCAGGGTACTCCGGGTCTGGCACCGACCTCTCCACCCTCACTGGGAGGGACTCCACGCCCACCCAGAACGTGTCATACTTCTGGACGAACGTCGCTCTGGACACCACAGAATCAAATTCAATAAAGCCCGAACAAAAATGCTCGACTCCGTTTAAAGGGCATTTCTTAAATAAAAGTAATAAAAGGGAAAGTTTTCAGAATACAATAGGGAAAAGGCACGAAAGTAAATATCACTCCTTACTTCAAAGAAAATAAAAAATCATCAGAAAAATAATTGAATACAACCGCTTGAGAAAATTTATTCCGACACGATAATATTTATCATTCGAGAATCTCTCATCCCAAAAAGGATTGCGGGATTACGAAACGATTTCGTCCGGGATCTATAGTATACTCGAGCGATACCAAGTAAGGAAGTGACAAGAGGACGACATGAATCCGAGTTCAGCGAAGACACGACCTTGGACGGAAGGGAAGAAAAAAAAAAGGACAAGTTTAATAGGCAAGAGATCCTTCAAATCCCCCGCCCGAACGGGGTGATGCAATCCCTCGCGGAATGGTATAGAATTTGCGCTAATTCCCGCATCATCTCTCTTCGATGCACGCATTGTAATCACAAGGCCCGATTCAGGAGCTGCTTCGGTTTTCCGTCCATGAATCCGTCTTGTAGGATCCACTAAATAGAATCTCCTTTTCACGCACGACTCCTTTTTCTCTCTTTTTCCTTATTCCACTTCCAGTCACGAAATCAGACCCACCTTCCACTAGTTCCCATTTTTTCCTGTTACGGTCATGGCGGGAAAAAAAATTATATTCAGGATTTCCTGTCACGAGAAAATCCCCCGCTGGAAGGTCGAGAGCAAGTCGTCTACTTTTATCGAAACTCGATCAAATTTCACGTCCGTCTCAAACTCAAATTCTTCCAGAAACGCACCATCATCTTGAAAAGAAACGCAAAAGCGGCTCCAAAAGTTTCAGACGGTGACAATTATTACCTCCTTTCGCTTTAATGAGCCAAACGAGGCTCCTTTTAATGGAGACTGGCATCACTTCCCGATCTGAATTTTTTTTAGAGCCGCTGGCTTACAAGAAATGCAAGACAGAGAAAGGGACAAAAACAAAAAGACAATGAGATTCCAGCAGACTGACTTGAATCGGATTCCGCCCGAGGTCCCCGACGTCGGCTCCCAATCCACGATGATCTCCTTCTTGCGGCTAGCCGACTTGTGCGTCACCGCATTCTGCCACACATCATCAAGTCATCCTTCATTCCCCGCATTCCTCATCCTTCCGGGACGAAATCCAACGCCGCTCCAAGCCGAAAGCCGATCTCGCGATGCGGCGTTTTCGATAAGACGCCGAGAAAATTAACGATCGCACCCTTATCTCAACTCGAAGTCGAAGCGACCCGCCGTCGGCTCTCCTTGCGATGGTGGCGAAACATTTGCATCGGCTAACTACGACTCGGTCCAAGATGAACATAATGATGATGTATCTATGACAAAACACCATCGTCATGGCCCCATACTCGGCTTCTCATTTCTCGGTCCAGCGATCGAGGCTCATTGTCCTGTCACTAAACATCGCCAACGCGGTATGCGACCACGATCACAGAGGACTCGATCCGACGCGCAAACGCCAGCAATTCGGCGCAATTTTACGTCCGTTGCGCGAGAAACTTCTGTAAGCGCTAAATCAAACTCCAAGTAAACTCCAAGTAGCCTCCGGAAAACACCCTAAGGTCTGCCCCACCCTCTCATCCATATGCAACCGCTAAGATCTCTAAGTTTTCACTTCACCTCAATTAATCTGGACGTTAGAATTTTCATTATTCGTTTGAAACGAAAATCCAATTTTCAATAAGCATAACCACGCGTAAAAAAAAAGGCAAATTAAAAAATAATTCACCGAAATCGGTGCAGCCATCGAATAAACAAATTGGAGAAAACGCTCGGGAGCGACCGATACGAACAGCACCTCACCGCGGGCGCACACCCCCCAACCCCGATCCGTTTTTAATACGCCACCGCCGATTTTCGTGACCGATTTCGGACCCGGACGAGCATTATTCCTCGTCATCGTTGCATCACGCCACACCATGCACAAAGCAACTCCACCGCCCCCCGAGAAAGTCTCGGGAAACAAATCCCTTAGAACGCTTTCTCCGCTCCCCGTCGACCAATCGCGTTTCGCGCTTCAATTCAAGGAAAACATCCGATGAACCACTCTCGTTAACCATTCCATTCTCAGAGTTCCTCCCCATCCATCTCCTCGACCGGTCCCCTTCCGAACCCAACAGCCCACAAGGGCACCCACCCGACTTCACGCCCAACCATATAAATGCAAACACCAAACGAAAAAAACTCCTGCCCCCGGTGCATCCATCGGACCCCATCGAAACGCGATCGACCGATCGAGTCCTGCCGATCGCACGATCATCGAGACCATCACGCGCAAAGTACTCCTATTTTAAACGGAAATCTTCCAGCGAAACAATCCCGCGCTCGCTTTACACGGAGTGTTGAATCTGGGGCAGACCGAAAGACGGAAAAAAAACGATTGTGGGAAAAACCCACGGCTGGTTTTCATCGGTCACTGGGACCCCTGCCATAACGGATTCCCACAGCAGGAATTCCTTCTGTCGCCAAGTACTGTGACCGGGAAACCTTTTGTTTTTCTCTATCGTCCTTGGCCGAATCCCTGATCTCAGATCTTTCTACTTTCGTCGAGAGTACTAAACAGAGTACGGAAAAAAAAAACGCACGCACCGGAAATGCGGCAATCGGCGAGTAGGCGTGGATCTCCTGACCGTGACACGACAAGAGCTCAGGAAATCGATAGTCTCACTCACGTTATGCCCTCGTCCACACGTGAGGTAATTGTGCTGGTGGGTGAAAAACGTCCCCGAGACGGCATCGTCCGAGGCGTTCCTCGCCTGAATAAGAAATCCCTGGAATTCCGTTCCGTCCACTCCCGACAGCCGCACCGACAGCCTCTCGCCTAATTTTACCTTGAAAAAAAAAAAACAAACAGATATATTTCAGCCTTTGAAAGGGTACCACTTAAGCAATAATTAACTTTTAATTAAAATCGCAACAAACCAGTTCAGCATTTCGACCAATAACGATCACAAGAAAAATCGCCTGCATTCAGCAGGATCAATCCCACGAGACAAGCGAAACCCCTCGGAATCCCGCGAACACAATCGATTCCGAAGCCTCATAAATCAAAAGGGGGCGATATTGAACACATCGATATTCATCATAACCACTTCATTAATATTAAAACGCACGGGCGGCATCATCAAGCAGCATCCATCTTGGAAGACGATCCCCCCCAAGGACGCCTTGTCGCATTTACAATTCAATTCCGACACCAGAGCCGACATTCACATTCGAATGGTGAAAACTCATCAATCCAAACCGCATGTGTCAGATGCCATGCCAATTGGCAATGCCTATTGACAGTTTCTTTCAGCGAAAATCCAATTTCTTGCCAGCATGATTGCAATGTTTCTCCCGCTTCTGCAGTAACATTAAGTTTTCAGCTTGGATATTTCACCATGTGACAAGCGACCTGAGAATATGAATAATACTGTGGTTTCTGACGTGTACGAACACACCAGAATCCCCCCCCCCCAAAAAAAAAAAAAAAAAAAAAAAAAAAAAAAAAATTAAAAAGAA